CATAGCCTGTCTGTTACTCCCTATTCTTACCCTCCTCTCCGTCACAGAAGTCTCTCCTCGCCGGCGAATACTGAATGTAAGTCGCTCCGTGTGGAAGCAGGCCAACGTGGCCAGTGACCTGTGGGAGAAGTTGACGGCGCGCTGCGTGGACCGACACCGGCACATGGAGCGAACCCTGGAGAGGCTGCTGCAGATCCAGGCCGCCATGGAGGAGCTGGCTGTGGCTCTGGAGCAGGCGGAGGGAGTGAGGGACGCCTGGGAGCCTGTGGGAGACCTGTTTATTGATTCGCTGCAGGATCACATAGATGCTACCAAGGTAATATGTCTTCGGTGACCTGATCACAAGATTGATTAATGCGGACAAATCGCTGTTTACACTTTTGTGATTGGATTTTAAAGGGAATGGTGTCTGATTTGGTAACTACAGTATATCCATCAATTACTACTTCAGTGCGTTACTGCATGCGCATAGCATAAAAGAGCAAAAAAAAAGTCAGCTACCATATATATCTGAGTCTCCCTGCATATGTGACATTTTCAGTAGAATTCACAGGGTTATTTTAGTCATGCTTGTCGTGCTTTATATGATCTGTGTCACTGCATGACAGGAAGTTCTGTAAAGTCACCTGCATGTATGTGTACCAAATATTTTTTATTTATTTATTTTTTTTAAGTTGCACAGAACGGTCAAAGTTTAAACATAATATAGGCACAATGGTTGACTGATGTGAGTAGGCAGACTTTCAGATGTTGTCTAGGATGGATCAGGGTGCATTAGAGTTTACGCGACATTATGTGACGTTAAATCACAGCACACATACCAGTGCTACACTTACAAACAGACATCATTGCAACAGTATTGTTGTTGTTACAGCTAGTCGTTGAATTAGATCTATTTTGGTAGTAGCAAATAAAACTTAAAAAAACACCCATACTTGCATTGGTAGGCATGTTTAAGAAGTTGGAAAGTGACTTGAATTCGACTTTTGTATGGCTGGCTGCTGGGACCTTGTGATCCATGTACCCTATTTACTTTTAGATGTGCTGCTTAAATAGATAAAGATGAAGAGGTTCAGTGTGGATTTATATTTCTATAAATGTATTTCTATGGCCAGATGTTGATGTATTATGCGAGGCATTCTGATAGACTTTAGATATTTTTTCATTTGTTACTGGACCTCACAGCTTGCTCAATTACTAATTGTAAGATTTTCAGCCAGATTGTACTGAGACTCTCCACAGGGCGCAGTTCTTTAATGGCATAGAAGGTCTTTTACTTTTTCTCTCACTTCATTTAACTGTAGGGTTTAAACAAGTGATTTTTTATTTTCAGACTTTAAATGAAATGCAGTATTAATGTGTGATGTGAGTTGCTCGTGATGTGAATGAGTCAAATAGATTGTTGGGAGGGGGGACATTACACTTTTATCTTTAGAATGTTATTGTTTTGTTTTTATTTATTAATTTTTATCAAATGTTTTAGTTATTTTAATTAAATGTTTTTATTTATTTATTTTATATTCAGAATCAGATGAATTAGAATGAGCTTTAATCACCAGAAAGTTTGCAAAAACACCCAAGGAATTAGTTATGGTTTCACGGAGCTCTATGTACTTACATACTTACAAGAGAATAGAAAGGGAAAAAGTAAATAAGTAGAATTAAAATCTAAATCTAAAAGAATATACATTTAGATGAGGTAAACAGGAGACTTGTGTACATATGCACATTAAGTACAGTATACACAACTGTATAAATATAAATATTTGCATAATAAGTGTCCATTGCCTAATGCCCGGATGGCAAAAAACAAAACAAAAAACATAAGTACACTGAACTACAAAAACAGGTACATATTAGTGGGTATACTAGCTGTTCAAGGTGGAAATGGCCTGTGGAATGTTCTGGATGTTCTAGTGCACAGTGATCTGTAGCATCTGCCTGTCCTAGGTGAGAAGGGTCCGTGATGACGTTACCTGCTTGTTTCTTCAGTCTGGAGATCCTGGAAGTTGGGCAGGTTCATACCAATTATCCTCTAAGCCATCCTAACAGTTCATTGTAGTCTAAATATCAAGTATCAAGGGAGATCCAGAAAGCAAATGGTGGTCATAATCCATCCAGTAGCATTTTCATATATTGACCACGTTTACTTTCTGGATCTCCTTTGTACGGTTTCCATCCTGGGTGTTTTATGGTTTTCTGTTAATAGTACAGTTCACTCAGCTGTATGCTGCTATTGGTTTTGCCCTTAAGATACTGTACTCAGTCACTGACTATGATCAAACAGAGAGATTAGTGTCGCAACAATAAAAGAACTGAAAGATGAGGCATCTGAATATGTTATCCTGTAATCTACCGTGTTTTTCCGAAGTGTATCTCCCTAATGTTTCCCTTCGTAATCTACCAGTGACGATTTACAGACTCAGCCTCCTACAGCTGTACAGTAGGAGGTCTTTTTATTTGACGATATGATTATGGTTGTTCCCGTGGAGATAAGTAGAGTTATTATAGATATGGAACAGTGTAGGTATCTATTTACAGTACTACCTTGTGCATCAGTGAGTCAGAGTTTCTGTTCTGCTTTCCGGGTCCCAAAAGGCTTCCTTATGTGTGGAAATGATATTTCTCTTTCTCTATTAATGTAAACACGTTTTTGTGATGTAATGTGCCTTTTTGTCAATAGCACAGCACAGTGCTATACATGTGCAACTGTGTAATTAAATAATTAACTGGTTTGTCTGCCTAGAGCTGTACCCTGATGCAATATGTTGAGTTTTTAATTCAGGCTGAAGCAGGACTCAGTGAACTGACATGTTCGTGCTACGGTCTGACAGGAGGTGGAGCATTTATCAGTGTTTCCCCTGCTGTCAGAATCAGCAACCACATAGCTGATCTAGCAGAATTTTACAGTTTTTCATTCATTTTCCTGGCTGCATGTCAAGGGTATGAACAGGCCATAAGATCAAGACTTCTACTACTCCCACAGTTACCTCTTGCCTGGGACCCCATACATAACATACGGTGGGTTCAAATCTCTGAGACCTCTTTGAAAATCTGGGATTTTTCTTTTTATTTGCTCCTAAAAACAAGAACAACAACAACAACAAAATTTAAATCATATAAAATGTTAAAATGTTTTTAAAAGAAATGAATACTTTTATTCAGCACAGATGCATTGATTAAAAGTGCCAGTAAAGACATTTACTTTACAGAATTTACATGTCAAATCAGCATATTAGAATGATTTCTGAAAGATCATGTGACACTGAAGACTGGAGTAAATGATGCTGAAAATTCGGCTTTGCATCACAGGAATAAATTCAATTTTAAAATATATTAAAACTAGAAAACAGTTATTTTAAATTGTAATAATATTTTACAATCAGTGTTGGGGTAACGCATTACAAGCAATGTGAGTTACGTAATCAGATTACTTTTTATATTTTTAATATATAAAATATATACTTTTAATATTGTAATGCATTACTTTTAAAAGTAACTTTCCCCAACACTGTAACAATATTTTTGTTTTTACTGTATTTTTGGTCAAATAAATGGTGCCTTGGTTTACCAACCCCAACTAGTCTATTTCAGTTCAAATTTCACTTACAAAAATATTTCTCTCTGCATTTTTTGTATATTCTCTTGCCACCAGTTCGCACTGTCACACACACTGAGTCATGTCACACTTACACATTTGGTGCAGTTTCACTCTCTGCCATCGACAGACTGGGTCTCTCTTGCACTTATGCCCAGTGTGGTGTGTGTGAGCAGTGGTGGACAAGGTGGATGAAATGAAAATGGACAAGTGTAGTCTGTGAATGGATAAAAGATCACTTTAAACATTAAAATATCCACCATATGGCCAGCCTGTCAATATCAGGGCTTTTTTATTGCTTTAAATTAGAGCAGGCATAATGGACTACTTGCACAACTACTTCCGCGTTCTACTCAATACAGCTCGGGAGTTTCCGGTCAGCATTTAGCGCACCTACATACAGACCGTTTCTCATGAGAAAGCAGATTATTACTACGTTTTAGGGCTGGCAATTTTTTTTAAAAACAATTAGTCATATTCTCTGCATTAACATGAATTATCTTCAACCTGCTGAAATGCTCCTATGAATATATTTATCTTCCAAATATGCATTCTGAATAATAAATAAATATATACTGATCATATTTCATACCTGTTGAATTTACAGTTTTAAATGAATTTGACTGATAAACACCCTTATAAAAAATAATCATGGTTTTACGATAGTAAAAGTGTAGTAACCATTTTTTTTGTTTTGCGGTTTACCATTTGTATAACCAAATTTAAACACCATGGTTAAATGTTGGTTAGTGTAGCTAACTCAGGTTTATTATGGTTTAACTACGATTGCAATTTTTTTGGTTTTATTTGTAGTAAAACCATGGCTAATTTTCGTAAGAGCATTCTTGCTTGTGTGCATTGGTGCTCCTATTCCAATGTTTAAAATGACTGAATGAATGTGCGGTAACTGCCTTAAAGAAATGTAATGATGTTCATTTTAAACAGGAACGCATTGACAGTGCGACTACTTTGAATATTCTTATTTTGGCATTGCATACAGTGAAATGATTGTGAGTGAAAAATGACACAAAATAGTGACATATTTACACACATATTTTTAAACATATTTAATACAGATAAATAAAGGTTCATTCTGATCTTATTCGTCAGATCTCACGTACACTGCAATGTCGCGATTACTAGTTTAGAGCACTGACACCCTGTGGTGAAACAATCACGTATGTTTACCAGCCACTTCCACTGAGTTTGGAAAACTCTGCACACAGTAATCATCAGAATATGCCTTCTCCTGTTTCTGAAAACATCCGGATTTTGAAATCATAATGCAGACTCTCATTTTAATAGGCATTTAAGTCAACTATATGATGACGGCACACTGAAAATATACATAACCGTAAATAACTGAGCTGTATTATTTAAAAACGGAAGTACGTCACACCAGCTGGCCATATCTGATGTGCACTTGTCCATGGAGAACGCCAGAGCTCTGGAGCACCTCAACAACAGATGGAAACTTCTGCAGGTAGTGAATTCACTACATCCTTATCTCATCCTTACCTGCCCACCATCACTAATGGACCACTATGGAGATCAAATAGTACAGCCGTCACCATTGCCAGCAGTGGCTCCAGCCAACTAAGTTAGTGCATATACACTATCAAAAATGGAGCTTAGGAGATGGAATATAATATGCCGGTCCTGCCTCGCTGAGAGCGGTGATGGCTCCATTATCATCGGTCACGGGAGTGCCTTTTGTCTACATGCTTATGGAAAAACAAAGGCCTTTACGACGAGAAAAAAGAGAAGATGTAAAATGAAATTGAGTGTTTCGATTGCATCTGGTTGTTTGATTGTGAGTGAAAAATGACACAAAATAGTGACATATTTACACACATATTTTTAAACATATTTAATACAGATAAATAAAGGTTCATTCTGATCTTATTCGTCAGATCTCACGTACACTGCAATGTCGCGATTACTAGTTTAGAGCACTGACACCCTGTGGTGAAACAATCACGTATGTTTACCAGCCACTGCTTTCTCACATCGGCTTATGTTGGATTAAAATGTCACGTTCCATTGAATTTGGAAAATTCTGCACACATAATCATCAGAATATCTCTTCTCCTGTCTCTGAAAATGTCCGGATTTTGAAATCATCCCACGGACTCTAATTTTAATAGGCATTTAAGTCAACTAGATGATTACGGCACATTGAAAATATACATAACCGGAAATAACTGAGTTGTATTATTTCAAAACGGAAGTGCGTCACGAGGCTCAGTGGAAGTAGTCCATTGTAACACTCAATAAATGTAACATAACAATGCACAATGGCCCCAGAAATCAGATGGAAAGTTTGAGAATATATATATA